TTATTGTAGTTTAATATTTGCATTGAATAAAGTTCTATTTTTAATTTTTCATCATTTTTTAAATTATATCATTATTATAAATTTATTATTATAAATAATAATCAAATTAAATTAATTACAAATACTCAAATTTTGTGTGATTTTTAGTATAAAATTTAATACTCAAATTAACTTAACAAAATAAAAAAAAAAACCAAAATTAAAAAAAATATATATATTTTTTATTTGTGCTACAGTATTGCGTCATTTTGGTGCAGTGCTACAGTACTGCTCTAAAATGGCGCAGTGTTTGGTGCCAATTTGGTGTTTTTTGCGCCATTTTGGCGTGGATTGGAGATGCCCTAATAAATTTAATTAGTCTCAACATTATTATTATAGAGATCTTTTACTGTAACTCTTATTTTTATATTTTTACTATTCAGGTTATACTTCCTTGATCCAAATCATGGAAAGTTGGATTCACAAGTACTATGCAAATCTTCATCAAGCTAGGAATAAATAAATTTAAAGGATTGATATTATACATTATAATTACATAGTTTTTTTTTTTTTTTTTTTTTTATTCAAATTGTGGTAATTATACGATAAATTCATCTTATTCAATTTAGTTTTTAGCTTTATTTTTAGGTTTCATTTTCATATAAAGATTTTAAATGTTTTAAAATCATTATACAAATTATAATTATTTATTATTGGTATTTCCATTATTATTAATTTTTAGTACAGTATTATGGAGCCAAGACAAATTTATTAAAGTCTTTTCCTAAAGGAGATCAATTTCATCCAATCGTATAATTTTATACACTTGTATTGAATCAAATTGGTGGTTATAATAAATAAATAAAGTTTACAAGAACAAGAAGAGTAATTAATAGGACGTAAAACGGTGTCGTGTAGGAACACAGATAATTAGATATAACAAAATTAGTCAATTTTATTTTTTTATTTTTTTAAATCATTAATTGTGGTTTAGATACAACTCGATTGTTTAATTATTGTGGTTCGGATACGTTTAAACCAGACTCAATGTAACAGGTTTAACTCATTTAAGTTTAGTTGTGATAGGTATTTGTGTTATGAATGAATGAAATACTTTTGAAATAAATGAATATACCACGAATAATTTTTAAATAAATAAATTATTGTGTGGTAAATTTACCTTGTATGGATTCACGTCACGGGTCCCAAGGATGCATTGTTACCAAGGGGCGTGTTGTTTGGTAAGAAAGTTACTTTACTTATAAGATGGTTAAAGATTGTCTCATTGATAAATCTCAAGATTGAATTGTTAAGAGGATCATGTATCACCTAATAAGAGGGTTATTCACAATTTTAGGATATTTTGAACACTATTTTCCTATTGCAAAAACCACCTCACCTATATTTAAAATTGAGCTCGTTTGTACTTATAAAATACACAAATAAACAATAAAATAACAGTGAAAGTAAGATTTGCACTTTTCATCAAAATCATTTATTTCTCTATTCTTTGTGTTTATTCATCATTTTTAGTATTAATCTAACATTAAAACACTGATTTACCACAAACCTTTGACGTAAATCTCATTTAGAGATTTAATACTTCTTGTTAGCATGAAAAATCGCATCAACATAAATATACCATGATTGAATGAATACTTTTCAAATAAACTAATATGTTATACATATAAAGGTGAGATAACCCTTGAGCTACAAATCAATTTTTTTTTTTTTTTCGGTTGAAAACCCTTTTCAGTTTTTTTTTTTTTTCTTCAACTATTAGTTAACTCACCGAAGTAAACTGTTTATTAAGTTATAACATAATTTAATTAATTGTCTGTTGTGTTGACTACTCATCTCCAAATTTACCTCTGGCAATGATTAAGCAATAAGAATTTTTTTATTGTTGAAAACTTTTTTTCATTTAATTGCTAATCTTCTTGTTTTTGCTAATTCTCCAAGGCTGGAGTATTGGTTGTTTGTTGTCATGTGTTTTTTTTTCCTCTTGGGAGGGCTGGGGTTGGTCGTTGGATTGGGGTGGGTGGAGTGTGGTATTGGGTTGGTTACTGGTGGTGTTAAGTATTTGTTCTAGTGCTGCTGGATTTTTATTTTGATGTGTTGTGGCTGCTGTTTGCTGGCTGTCTGTTGGGTTTCTTCTGCTGGCTGGTACTGCTGGGTTTTTTTGCTACTGCTGTTGGTTCCTGCTCTTGTTTCGTTGCACTTGCTGGTCTCTTGTGTCATGTTCCTTCTAGTTTTGTTTTGTTTAGGCGCCGCTTGCCTCTTGGTTTTGCTGTGGGTGTGGAGTGCTTTGTAACGTACATCTTAGCCTTTTTGTTTATTTTGTGCTTCTTCCTCTGTGTGTTTTTGTGCGCGGGCCGGAGTGCTTGGGATCTTCTTCCTGTTTAAGTGTTATTTATTATTCTTTATAAAATTATCATTTATCAAAAAATTGGTAAACTGTTTTTTATGATTTAAAAAAATAAAATTTTAAATGTGTTTTAAAAATTTCACCTTACAATATATCAATATTAAACCTCTTTTTTGTTGGTAATTGACAATTAAAAAGTTATTGTGAATCCAGTCAAAACACATCAAATGTAATTTTACATTTAAACAATTATCTAATCAAACAAAGATCTAATTGCAAACAAATACTAAAAATAGATTAATAATACTATACACACAACCGATTTATACAAACTTTCTCTCATAAATTTATGTGGTAAAAGATAATTATTTGATTTTAAATTTAAAATAAACTTTCATCTAATCATTTTTTGTCACATAAGTTTGTAAAAGAACATTTGTTTAAAAATATTGTAAGTATAGTATTACTCAAAATAAATATGCCAAAACACTAAAGGATATATTTTTTTAATTAATAAAAAAATTCCACGTCATCAATTATCTGTTATAAACCCTTATTAGAGTATCTTCAAAGAACTCTTTATATGACACAAACTCTTTATTATAAACAGTTTATCCATAAAAACAAGAGTCCAACAAACTCTTTATTTTTAAAATATAAATTAGAGAGTGAGTTTTGACTCTCCACATTTAGAGAGTCAAATTTCACTCTTTATCCTAATTTTAATTAATAAACTACAAATTCCTATGCATTTTATTTATTAATTCTTTCTCCCATTAAGTTTCTTTCTTAAAAATAAAGAGTATATTTATTAAATTTAAAGAGTCTACTAGATTTGAATAAAAATTGTGTTCTTTATATTTTAAAATTAATGAAAATGCTCTTATTTATATGAAATATGCTCTTCAAAATAAAGAGCACCATTAGAGATGCTCTTAGTAATTGAATATTAAAAAATCTTTTAATATATACACATCCAAATAATCTATAAATATTTTAATAAAACACTGTTTCAAAACTTCCACTTAGAACATAAAAGTTAGATACGGGAGAATATCATAAACTACCGTGAAGCTTTTCAAATTTCTTATTTTGATGATATAACTGAGTAAATAGAAAAGAAAATGTCATTATTCCCAAAATATTATTCTATATTTTTCAATTTCTTTTAAACCTCCTAAATTTGTTAATTTAACTAAGCACCCTCAAATATTTTTTTTAGAAATTGTAAAAATACTCCTGCCACCCTCCGACGGTAGTGGCCGACTGTCCGTATTTAATAGGTGGATTGAGGATATTTTTGTTAACTTTTAATATTTTATTATAATAGTGTTTAATAAATAAACAAATATAAGAGATATTTTTGTTAATTTCCAAATCCTACATTGTAATACGTGCACAATTTAACTTTTTTCAAAAGGTTATTCTAAAAACTATCAGAATAATGAATCAAACGGAGCCAGAATATTTGTTAAAAGTTTTTAAATTTGAGAATCTATTTGATAAAAAATACGAAAGAAGTGCATTAAAGCAATTTAAGTCACAAACCAAAACCTTAAAAGGTAGTTTATGATATTCTCCAAAGAACCTATACCAAAACACACAAAATGTTAAAGCAGTTTAAGTCACAAACCAAACCAAGCTCTTTATAGAAAGCGAATCCTTCTTATTATTCTATTTCAATGGGTAATTGTTGAAGTGGGAAAGAAAAAAACAAAAAAGGGAAAAACAACTGCCTGTTTTAAGGTACGTTACACTAAAAAAAATACTTTTAAAGTTGCATGATACATTGCATTATATGACTAACCTAAATCGAAAATGTCTTGTAAGACTCGAAAAGTTAATTTGTACCGTGAGTTCTGGTGATTGAATCTATCAAGTGGTCACATATCCAATGGTCCAAATTCACTCCACATGTTTTGATCATCAGAAGACTGAGGATCTCCCAAAATGGTTTCGATCTTTGGCCTTTTGGGTTCATTTTTCGGGAGGGGGAAGTTCCAGAATGAACCAGAATTCCGGAAGAATATGTAAAATGCAACAGCTGATGCCAGAAAGAGTCCTAGAAGCAGCACGTAAATCTGCCACTCTGCTCAAAACAAAAAGAAAATGTTATGGACACCAGATATTAAGAAAGAGGAGAGATTGAGAACACAAGGAGAAACCTTTCCAATCTGCCGGAACATTTAGCTTAGTAATCAAAGCTCCCCATTCATTTGAAGTAGTTAAAACCACCCTGCAGAAAAGCACCCCACCAGGGGAAGAGTTAATAATTAAGAACCAAAATGGGTGGAAATTTACAAATGAATTTGGATATGAAGGGACGATTGGTGTAATACAATTAAAGTGCAGTGGCCAGAAAAGACTTTTTAAAACAAATTACTCTTTTATCTGTTTTCTTATTTGTTTGACTATACCTTGCAAGTGCTTTTCTAATTCTTTAGAAGTTTTGATACTTTCGAAGGGGCTCAAATTTTGGGCTCTGCAAAGCTCACAATAAAATATTCTAGAAAGTCCAAAACGTCCTTTCAAATCAGTTCTATTGACAACCACACAATCAATAGCTTTCTGTTAACTACTCTCTCTGTAACACATATTACAGAAAACTTCAACTGTGATCCCAGGACACAAGAGTGGAGTGTCCTTTACAATAACTCGGAAAACATTTATGTAGAAGTACAGTTCCATCATAAATTAAAGAAGAAAAATAAAAATTATAAGTTGCCAATCCCAAATTATTGAGAAAACCTTTTTAGTTCTCCAGTGTGGACTTAAAAATTCAGACCTTCTTTGCCAAATCTAGTTATAATTGTGCTTATATGAGATTTACTAGATGTTTACATAAACTTGTAGATGGGAAAAGGAGGTTTGGACTTCAAGTTCGCATTTTAGGTCTACCATATATATAATCATTTGAGACTTACCTTTGGCTGGGACAGAACTCTAGTGATGTAATGCGAGTACCCAGGTGTAGCCTCCTACTCCAGTGGCAGATTTCCATTTTCTTTACATTAACAGCACAGATGTCACCATCTTTGCTAGCACTACCATAGGGAAAACTCAAACATATATTAACAGTAATCTCACAAATGAAAACAGAACACAGACAACATTCTGCAGCAACTTCACATAAAAGCTCCATCAACATGGCTTTATCACTCAAAATAATAATAAATAATCACAGGTTTTAAATTTCATAAGATAGTCCAGTAAATAAAATTCATATGTTGTTGATAGGAACATAAGGTGCAGATGATTACAACTTATTTTTCAAAAGAGTATATGTGAGTGCTTACATAGCAAGATACTTCCCATCCCGACTGATGGACATTATGGATGCAGGTTTTCTAAGCAGCCTCTTATACCCAATTTTATTCCACGTACTTATGTCATAAACTGCAACAACAGCTTTCTCACCTGTAACATAAGATATGAATACAGATCAATATACAATCAACGAATGACTCTTTCTAATGTTTACTTCAACAAGAGACGAATATACCTTTCTGAACAGTGCAAAACAAAAATGGTTTTGTCCCATCCTTAGAGAATCTACACAGTTCAATCTTCTCATCCTGCCAAAAAACAAGAACAATGCCAGATATGATGTCAATGCAAAGCAAACTTCAACAATATGTCAACACAGATTGCTTGACCAAATAAACCTACCGAGTTGCGAGTTAAAAAGGTCCAAGGCACACCATCTTCTGTCTTCCATATTCTAGCCGAACCATCAGTAGATGTTGAAGCTAAATACTCTGAGTCTAGGCTATAGAACAGCAGACAAACAAGGCCAAGAATTTCAGCATCTACAGATGAAAAATGTCAAACTCTCCTACAATTTTTTTTTCAAATGCACTTATTTTATTACATAATCAAAATATTAATCCTGAAAATTGCATACTTGTAACAGAGATTGACATTGCAAATTATGTCATGTACATGATACACAAACAAATAAGTGCCAATCATACCTAAAATCCATATCCCAGACCGACTTGTGCGCTCTTGGTTCATCTAAAATAATGCGCAGACTTGGCCAATGCAAGATTCTGAGATGCCCATCCTGTTGTTGAATAAAGGATGTCAGAATATACATGCTTCACATTTTAACATTTGAATTGTGAACATTCCAAAATGCATTAACAGAAAGAATAATTACAATAATAGATCAAACAATATGTTATTGCTCACCACTCAACTGGCAGATTATAATAAAATATTCTACATTGTTACTTACCACTCCACCAGTGGCAAGTCTAGACCCATCAACACTAAAGGCTAGGCATTTCTGTGGACCAACATCTTCGAGTGGAGGCATTTTTTTGGCCAACAACTTTAGATTCGTTTCACGACCATATACCTCAAACCATCTGCATGTTATAGGAACAATTTCAGTATCCATTTACACATCTTGGAGAAGTAGACAGATTAATAATTTCACTAGCCTGACTAGCCTATAATTTCCAGAGAGTGAGAGACAGGGAGGGAGAAGTGGGGGAAACAGAGAAACAAAACAAAATAGTATAGCAAGTAAAATTCCCAACATATGTGAAAAATGGCATCAACAGTATTGATGCCTAGATATGATTATAGTTAAAGTAGCATTAAATAATGGGATTAATAACATATGAGAAAATCATGAATCACACATAAAGTGGCAATACATGTACCGCGGTCTTACGTAACCTTGTCGACATACACATGTGGAAGAAAAATCAACTAGTGGACAAAACACAAAGGTACAGAAGTACAATCACCAAATAATTTGGTACTTATCAGGGTTCAAAGACACGACTCACAATAGATAGACCTATCCATGTAACAGGAGTTTAGTTTGAGCACTGACACTGTTGTCTCTCTTAACTCTGACCTACAACTTAAATACAAATTTACAAAATGCCTTCAAAGCAAGTACTCATGGACAAGAAAACACATCAAATTATGTTGAAGTAAACCTCAAGAAAATATTTTCCTAACATACCACAAGTAGTACCTCGTCATAGGAAGAATCAGAGTCATAATCAATAGCCTTTTCCACCCAAAAAAGTTTAATCCGAAACAACAATTTTTTCCTTGTTCGACACTTAATTATAAGTTAAAGACACCTCTAACAAGTAACAACAACAACATCAATAAAATAGATAACATGAACGCATTTCATTAACCTTATTAACCCACAACACACATAATCTCACAAAAACAGTCTGAAAATGCTTACTTGATCACATATTCCCGCAAATTATATGCCCCCCACCAGTTTGCTTAATGCAAAAATCACTTATTATTATTTAAAAAAAAAAAAAAAAAAACGACGCTTTCTTTGACAATTACAAAATAAGAACTAGATTATAAACTGCATATTAAACTGCATATTAAACTATAAACCAAACCAAACCCCCCATGCCCCCACCACAATATATATATATATATATATATATATATATATTAAGAAGTTTTAAACAAGTGACCTCAATGCTAAAAAAATTAAAATTCAAACTTACCTGCAGCCGCCGTTTGTGGTAGAGCAAACCAAATCATCACCACTTGGGTTCACAGCAATAGACAAAGGATCGCCTTCACATTCTTCAAATACATAACTCACCTTTAAAACACAAAAGAAACCACAACAATTAAAAAAAAAAAAAAATTTAAATTTTTTAAAGTTTTATCATTGGGGTTTATTTCAAAAAACATATTTTTACCAAAGGAGCGGTCGACATGGAGCTCTTGTTGGGTTCAAACGAAAAGATTTCAAGCAAAGCTGGAGATGAATGAAGCCGCCTTGACTTGCCCACCACAACCAGGTTCATGTTCTCGGGTCGCTTGATCCACGACCCGCATGTCACGGATCCCCCACCCTCCATTCGAAGTAGAAAACTAGAAATTCGGGTTTTAGTTTTGTTTGTTTGGCGTCGTTTTGTAAAAACTGAAAGTACAAAGGAGTCGGAGAACAGAACAGGAAGAAGTAGGAGAATTTATAGTTGAAGAAGTGCAGGCGAATTTTGGATTCGTTGAAAACAATTTTTCTGTTTTTGTTTTTTCAAATGTACAACTCTGTAATGCACGATGTACGGGAGATATAAAGCGTGTTTTTTTTATTTTATTAAGTGGTTTGGATAAGATATTAATAAATAATTGATTTTGAGATATTTTTTTCAAGGGCAATATGGTAATAACAATAAAACAATATATAATTTTAATGTTAAAGTCATATTATAATTTTTTTTTTAAACGAAAAATTAGGACAAGAGCGTAGTGGGTCCCTTAGGTGGAGGGACAAATCAACGTCAACTCTCTCTTTGAGGAGTTATAGGATATTCTCTTTTGATTCCCGGGGATTTCTAGGCATCCAAACAAAGTCCAACCTTTTATTGTTGGGCATAATTGAGGTATTGATTCTATTGAGTATTGAATATGAATGCTTTTTCCTATAAAAATAAAATAAATATTTTATCAAGTTGTTGGATGAATTTGACAATGGGAAAGAGGAACAAATTATTGCGCCTAATTAAAGTCTCGTTCAATTTATTATTGTTTAAACGAGCTTATTATAGTGTCACCTATGAGGTGTGTGACACCATATACTTCCCTTTAAAATTGAAAGAACAAAAATGATCACCCCATAAGACCTTTTTGTTGGTTAAATATAACGGTTTAATAGGTTAAAAATATATTTTGATTAAACCGTTAATATTTTTGTTAATTTGTAAACAGTTTTAGACAAACGGAATGTAAAAATATCGATCTTTGACTAAAAACACTAATTGTTTATTCAAAATATTTTTTGCATAGACAAAATCTCTATGTGGGGGTGTCAGCGGATTTTCCAAAATTTGAAGGGAAAAAGTTTTGCACCAAACGCTGGGAGTGATAATGTAATTAACTCTTATTTGAACCGGTTCAATTTCCCGGTGATATTATGGATCAGTACCCGAACTGAGGCCCAATTAAATTTTAAACGGGCCCAATAGGTAAACAGCTTCCCTCTCCTGAACTCTTGTAAGGCCGTCTGCCGCCTTCACCCTGCCACAATAAACCCTAAACCCTGCGATTTCTCTGATCTGTGTAAGAGATGTTTAGGAAAACAAGTCCCAACTCCATCAAAAGCTGTGAATAAATTAAGCCTTTGGGAGAATTTTGTTCAAATTAAGACTTCCTTCACTCTCATTGCTCGTTATTTCCGTCTTGTAAAACACTTCTCACAGCCGCCAAACTTCTTTGTAGAGCAACTTATTTAGTAAGTTATATTCGCGTTTGAGTTAAATTCTTTACTGGGTTTTCTAACTTTGTTCCTAATTTTGAATTTTTTTGTTTGAGTTTGATTGTGCTTCATGTCTGAGTTTTTGTTAGTGTGATTGTTGATGATATTTGGATTGCAGTTATCTCTGTGTTTATTTGGAATATGAAATTTTAATTGCAGTTGTGCTGTATTAATTCGAAATTAACTTAAAGCTCTGCAGATTAATTCGGGAATTCATAACTAGAGAGATGGGTGCGAAAGAAGAGAATGGTGTTCGCGAAAATATTCTGCCTCCTATTGAACAGGTTTCTGGAATTGATTTTGTTTTTGCTTGTTTCTGATTCTTGTATGTATTCTAGTGGTATTTGTCTATTAGTGATTGAATGATTAATATAAAAAATTTCTATGGCTTACGTAGATACGAAGAATTTCCAAGATTTTTAACATTTTGAGTAGTATGTTTTCTATTAATGAGTTAATGACAACAGTGCTTCATTTTTATATTCTCCTTCTTTGCTTCCGTATCCTTGTTTTTGCAATTGGAGATATATGGCCTGCTACCCTGGGGCGAAGGCTTTATCAACTTCTTTTGGCTGATGTGAGCTGGCCACTAGAAACACTTTCTTTGATTTCAAGGAAGCAATTGACATTTTGGCAATGGGAAAAATTGGATAACACATCTTTCTCTTTCATTTATCTGTTCTTTTGGTGTTTTAGTTGCAGTATTAATGACTTTTCTGTTTACTGGCTAGATTTCTTATAGTTCCATTGTTGAATGCATTATTTGCAGGAGATCTCTGATGAACTAGATACAAAGGTGAAGAAATATCTTAGAGGAGAGGGTGCTAATTTGGAGGTAGGACATTACTAATTGAGATTTCTATACACGTGAATTTGTTTAGGATTTCTGTATCATAAGCTCTCCATTTTTGCAGGTTTTACAAGACAAAAAATTAAAGGGTCAACTTGCTGTTAGAGAAGAATTATTTGGAAAATCTGCCAAAGCTGCTGCCAAAGTTGAGAAGGTAATTTTTTTTTTCTTATCTGATTTGTTAGCCTATTGTAATCATTTTCTTGCTTTCATTGAAACATAAGCTCAATTTTTTTCCAGGATTCTATGTTAACAATGTATATATTCTGTTAAAAATCAAATGTCACTTTCCTCTAAAAGAAATATTCTAGATTTTACAAGTTTGTACCTTTTTTTTAATCCTCCAAATGGTAATCCATTTTCGTTGTCTCATTAATTCTTGATTTGTGGTTCTGTACTTCAGTGGCTTTTGCCCAGTGAGGGAGGCTATTTGGAAGCTGAAGGAATAGAAAAGACATGGAGAATCAAACAGGAATCAATTGCTCGCGAAGTAGATATCCTAAGCTCAAGGAATCAATATGATATAGTGTTGCCAGGTTGGTGCGTCTTGCTTCATTACGTTTCTATGATTTAGCACTTTTTGAAATTTTGTTTCACTCATGCTTTATGTGGAGAGACTGTCCTTGTCTTGCTGTAATGAGAAGTGTATAAATAAGTATAATTGGATTCCTGCTCATGGCATGCAGAGCTTGGTCCCTATACTATGGATTTTACCGCGAGTGGTCGGTATATGGCAGCTGCTGGACGCAAGGGGCACCTGGCAATTGTAGACATGAAGAATATGAACCTAATTAAAGAAATTCAGGTATGATCTAGTCCACCAGGCTTGACATGGTTCTGACAGAGATGCTAATGCATAGATGAGCTGGTATATTCTGTTCGAGAAACTGAATACTGAGGTTCTACTCACTATCTCATGAAAATAAAAAAAGAATGTTATTTCGAAAATTAAAATTAGAAGTTGTTCTGGGGGTAACAACAATTTTGGTCTTTCTTTGCATCCTTATTCTATTTGTTAGCTATCTTAATATTATTTCAAATTTGTTGCTGGAACGATTATGTTTATTTGTCTATCTAGTTTGATCACAAGATTGGACTGATTTAATAATTGATTATTGATTCCTCCAGGTTAGAGAAACAGTGCGTGATGTGGTCTTCTTGCACAACGAGTTGTTCTTTGCTGCAGCTCAAAAAAAGTGTGGCTTTTGCTTCTCTCTTGTTGTTTAGAATTTCAATCTGTTATGAATCATCTAATTATTTTATGCCTTAGTTTCAACATTGTGGACTTGCATTTCCAAGGTTCTGTAGTGCATATTCACACATCAGTATCAGCAAAGCAAATAATCTTAGCAGGCTATCATGTAGCTTTGTTTGAATGACACAGCTAAGAGTTTTAAATTATGGCAGGTATCCCTATATTTATAATCGAGATGGCACTGAACTTCACTGTTTAAAGGTCAGTTACTGTACTTGATTGATTTGATTTTATGGCCTGTGAAATGGCTCTTTGAAATTTGAGTACCTAAGCTTTCATCCAATTTTGTATTATCACGATTATGAAATATTTAGGTTTTATGTTGTTTCAGTTTGCCCAGAAAACAAAAGTAGGGTTACTTCTTGTTCCACCTTCCAGAAAAAGGAGCATTTAAAATTTTACCTTGGTGGAATCTGTCTATGCATTTTAACTAGTGTTCATGGTAAAATATGGACAGTGCATCAGTTTAAAGATCTCGTTTGGGTTTAATGTAGATTATATATATATTTCATGCGTGTCTTTCTGCTTGTTCTACTGTATTGATTAATATGCACAGGTATTTGAACTCTGGAGTGGATGTGTAAGCAAGGCTTCAACATATGTATTTGAACTCTAGCATGCGTTCCTTAGTCAAGATTTGGTTTTAGTTAAAAGATCTGTCACATGGTTCCAAACACAAAACATACATGAAGCACATTTCAAGTTAAATTCTTGCTCATTTCTATCTTGTCTGGTATTTCCAAATAAGGGAATCAATCACAGAACTGCTCCAACACTAAAAGCTTCAGAATTATGATTCATGTGGTTCTCGATACTTGTGCAACTCACTTTGCTCCAGCCATATTCTGTCACAGGCTGGAGTCTGTGGCCATTGTATTGTTACTTTATTTGTGAAAGATACATTAATGTGGAATTAAATATGCCTTTTAAATCTTGTAGGAACATGGTGCAGTGCTGAAGCTTCAGTTTTTAAGAAACCACTTCCTCTTGGCATCTATAAACAAATCTGGGCATCTCCATTATCAGGATGTTACAATGGGTGAGATGGTAGGTAATTTTCGGACAGGTTTAGGCCATTCTGATGTGATGCAGGTGAATCCCTTCAATGGAGTTATTGCTTTGGGCCATTCCAGTGGTACAGTATCCATGTGGAAGCCCACTACCTCTGCTCCCCTCATCAAGATGCTATCTCATCAAGGACCTATATCAGCATTGGCATTCCATCCTAACGGCCATCTCATGGCCACATCCGGCAAAGAACGGAAAATTAAGATTTGGGACCTGAGGAAATTTGAGGTCCTTCAAACCTTACCAGGCCACGCAAAGACTTTGGATTTCAGCCAGAAAGGTTTGCTTGCTAGTGGAACTGGATCATTTGTACAGATTTTTGGAGATTTGTCTGGATCTCAGAATTATAGCAGATATATGGGTCATTCCATGGCAAAAGGTTACCAAATAGGAAAAGTTTTGTTTAGACCATATGAAGACGTACTAGGGATAGGGCACTCCACAGGTTGGTCTAGTATTCTTATTCCAGGATCAGGTGAACCCAACTTTGATTCCTGGGTGGCAAACCCATTCGAAACATCTAAACAAAGGAGAGAGAAGGAAGTTCGCACTCTTCTTGACAAGCTTCCACCTGAAACAATCATGCTGGACCCATCTAAGATTGGTA